CCCCAAAACCCCAAAACCCCACGACAGATAATTTGCTCAATGATTATTAGACAATGAATTCTTTCGAATTTCATAATTTTTATTTAGTATATAATGGAATCTTAAACTAGCAAGTTGAAGGTGCCAAATCTATATGTCCTGATTAAAATCATAATTATGGCTAATGATGCTGTTTCAGTATTTTAAATACTCTCAAGGCTTTCAAGAAAGTTAAGATAATAAATAATAGAGAACAAAACAAGACTTCTCTCTAAATAAAATTTAAGACGTATACTTCATGTCAAATATGATAGTATTTATAAGATAAATGTCCCAGAAGTTTATCAAACATTATTTTGCATTGATATTTCAGCTCATTTAATGCTCTCAAGCGGATCTATATTTAAAGAGAGGAATATAGCGCTTTTGAACGCATAATAATTTATTGAACATGCAAGCTTAGTTAGAGGTTTAGAAATTGGATAATGATTTATATCTGATCTTGCTCTAGATGTAATGAAAGATTAGCAAGAGTAGGTATATAGAGTAATTGAAAATTGCTAATAATTATTGCTAAATAGCAAGGGTGACACATCATATGATAAAGTCGGATTTTCAATTACAAGAAAGGAGAATTCTCTTTAAAATCTTACAGCAATTAGCTTCTCCAATTCTTTGGTTGAAGGATCTTCATTCAAAAAGAGTGATGTCTTTCTTAAGTTTTTGAAACAAAATGATTACATCAAGCTAAAACACTTGGAACTCGAGTTATATGAGGATCTGCAAGACAATGATACTGATTATGTCAAAGGCTTTTGTGAACTAATTGCGAGCAAATAAGATAGTTTGAGGTCAATTTAACTAGGAATAGATTCTGCTTATTAAACTTAGTTTATTCTTCCATTCTTAGAAAGATTACCCCTTATTTCTCCAAAGCTTAAGAAATTGGGCCTAAGATTCTTAAGTTTGTAAAAGGAAAATCCTTTATAAAATATTTAATCATTAGGTTTTCTCAATCTTATTAGCCTGGATGTGTCATACTCTCTAGTTACATTACCACTCATCTATAAAATTACTCAAAGGCTAAGAAATTTAAGACATCTTTTATTGCTTGAGTCAATTTATTCCCAAGAAGAAATAGATAGCGAAATGAATGAAAATAAATATCTTTAAACTTTCGCTTTAACTTTTGCCTCTTAAAAAGGTTTAGAAAACGACAAGAAAATAATAGGATTAATGTAATTCATCTAAACTTTAACAAACCTTAATACTTTCCAAATTGATTTTAAGGAAATTTTCTAAGATGAGCTAGATGCACTCCAAGGAAATGTTAGCAACTTAAAATTAAGCATGAAATCTAATGACATGTATTTCTTAGATAAAATTTCAAGACTTGAAAAACTAAAAACTCTAGAGTTAAACGTAAATGCTTAAAAATACACTTAAGATATTGTCGAAAAAAATATCGATAAATAACATCAATTAGAAATGCTAAAATTGAGGATTCAGAGCAGTAGAAGCTCCCATGATATTTAAAATGGAATTCAATAAGTTCTTATTATTTTCCAAAATCTCAAAGCGCTACTATTATATGAAATAAATTTGATGTGTTAAGAATCAATTTCTCTCATTGCAGAATATATAAGCAGGAGTAACAAGCTAGAATAACTCAGAGTAAGATAATGCCCTATTACTGAGGAGGATTTTGTCCGCTTATAGTAGGCGATTGTAGATTCAAAAACTATTAAAGATTATGAATTTATGCAAGGCAACTATTCACACAGCAATCTCTTAAATTTGAATGAATATGAAGAATTGCCCTAACTTATCAGTCCTCATCTCAAATATATCAGATTATCTGTTCTTTACTTTAGTACAACTTAACTTTTACAGATTTTAGGACAAGTTAAACAAGGATATCAATTGAGACAAATTTAAATTGAGAGAATAAAATTTTAGACTGAAGAGCAGTAACAATTTGCGGAAAGTTTAATTGAAATTTTAAAGAGTGATGATTTGCAAGGACTAAGAGGAGTCATCATTAACATTAGCATAGTTGGAGCTATTGATCAATTGAAGAAGCACTTTGAAAATGTCAGGTTCAATAATCTAATTGAATTTTAATTGTCATTGTGATCAAGCCCAAGCTTATTTACACTCAAATAATTTAAAAATGATAAATTCTTTAGTTATTGCAATATATCTTGTCGGGGTTTTGGGGTTTTGGGGTTTTGGG